CCTTTTTATTAGTATTGTAGCAGGATAATCTTACAACGGAAAATAATCATAATAAACTAGACTTAGTCATTATATGAATGAAGATATTTATTTAAAAACAATTTTTCTATCGAAAATCATCGATCACATGACCATGTGAGTGTGTTTTCAATCAGTCGTGTAATATAGCCTAGATAATCATTATATTGTCAATAAAAACGAAGTCGAGCATTTTATATAAAGAAAAGTTGTTCATTTGAATAGTTTGTTAATCCAGGTAAACTTGTATCATTTTTTTGTTAATAGTAATTTTTTATACATCTACAGAAAAATAATTTCTGTCTCAAGATTAGATCATTTTTCTTTGTTTTTGCTTTAATGTTTGTTTTTCTAAATCAATTCAAATAAAACTTACATAAAATGATTGTTTTGTCCTACCATTATCCGCAATATTTTCGCCTTGTGTTTGCAATCCATTTAACTAAAGTTTAGCAAAAATAATATCAAAAATGTGAAAACGTTTTTTAAGTCATTACTGTCATGTTGATTTGAGTTATAACATATTTACTATATTGATCAATTATACATTGCTTATGTTCATTAAAACTTTCGATAGTTTCAGGAGTCCACCATGAAATACGATTTCCATCTTTATCATACTGACGACCACTATCATCAAAACCATGAGTAATTTCATGAGAAATGACCATTCCAATGGCTTGAATTTCATTAGATATTCTACAACATTTATTTATTTAATTGAAACTTGCCACCGTAATTTAAGTATCAAAAAAGAATAAGGAATTCTAATGTCTTTGTCAAAAGAGATATGAAAGAAACTTACTTCGGTGCATCTTTATTAAAAAATGGCATTTAAAGAATGCCAGCTGGAAAAACTAAAAACAAAGAAAAATATATACATATATACCTTAGTCAAGAAATATAGTCTATTTCTGACCCGAGAATGGTAGAAGTTTAGTGTTGAACTCTGTTCGAAACCAGAAATCTTCGACCAGTGGATTCAATCGTAAGATTTCGAATTCCGAGTTCCTACTATTTTTCTGAGTTTTTCGACCAGAAATATTGTTTTTCTAGCCATCGAAATCATTCACCCGGATATGCATAATAGTCGCATAAGCTAATAGTAGAAAAGCTTCATGAAAACTACTGATGCTAATTACTGTAACAAAAAACCTCCTAAAATACACCTGTATTTATATACAAGTACTATTCATATACAATTATCCGAAAAAGTGATACAAAAATTCTTTGAAAATATGAATAAACTAAAAAGTATGGATGATGCGGACTATGAAGTTATAGATGTGCACGTAGAGACGCCCTACACAAACATATTATTCGCAAGCAAATGGTGGCTCAGTGAACAACAATCTTTAGGAGTAGGAATGTGCAGGGAAAACTTTTCTTTTGTACACTGACTGAAAGGAACGTTCTAATCTCTGCTCTTCTCTATTTTGCAGTGTAGAGTAATCTTGTATGTTCTTACTAGCGGACAAGTATCCTGAACTCGATAAATAATATCTGATATCTAGATTGTTGATTGATCCTTTATTTTATTTATTATGTCATATAAATGATTGCCTGATTCTTATAATATTCTGATTAATAGTTATATTACCGTCAACTATCGAATCCTGATATGTCTTCTTGGACTAATAGATCAAATACATGGTGTATAAAATTGAGGAACTGTTTTATCTGACTTATTAATAGTGTATTCTGTTTTCATTTGAAAAACTATATAAATACAAACAGATTCATAGCTTGTCATTAGTCAACCAGAACTAAGACAAATCGACCTGTTTGAATTTCTATCGTGAATATTCCAATTAAAACAGTTGCACAAAAAAAGAATTCTATTTACTGATTTGGTTTCTTGGTGGACTATAAAAAGCGTTGACTACAGTCGGTGGACTAGCACCCCATGCTTTTCGATCAACAGATTCGCGAAGCATTCGATGATTTTCATTGGATTTTATTTTTAATAATTTTAAAACATTATATATATATAAATCATTGAAAGCATACTAAAAAAAGCTGCAGGATAAATCATATTTGGTCGAAAATATAATTATTTCTTACATCTTGATACATTTTTTCGAGCTTTGTCGTATCATTATTGCCTAAAAAATCTGGATAACCAATTTTTTCATCGATTACTAACGCCTTTAAAATATAATTAAAGTTATGAAAAATTTTATTTTCCAAGTTACTTTTTCTATTGATTTATTTTTTGAAGTTTCATGCATCCAACTCGAATTTTTGAGCATATCAAGAAATGCAGTTCGAACATTATTGATCATTTCTAATGACTAAAATAAAAACTAGCAGTCAATTAAATTAGTTCTGTATTGTCAACATTATTTATGTTAATCTCAAAAACAATTTGATTTTGTTGAAAGTTTTCTATTGAAAAATCGTGAATATAATTTCTCCTTAGACAAATCGTTACAATTACTAAAGCTAAAGAAGTAAAAATAATAAATGACATCCACTGTTCAAGCTCATATTTAAGCAACAAGTAGCTATTGGTGAGAGTCTCGAAAGTCTAAAAGAGTTTATTCCTATAAGGGTGTGGGTGTGGGTGTGGGTGTGTGGGTATGGGTGTAGCTGTGAGTTTTATCTTTAACACTACTCAAACCCATACCCCCACCCCACACCTCACACCCACACCGACACCCCAGTCACACCCACACCCACCCACACCCTTTTATTTCTGTGTTAAAATACTTTCATTTTCTATATCATGAATTACAAGTGACATGTCGATTTCAAATAGATCAAATGTCTTTTCTTAGTTGGATCAATTTCAACTCTTTCCACTCGCAGCACGAAACCAACACTGAGCAAAAATTCTTCTTCATCTGGCATGCACGAAACACTAGAGATATCTCTTCCGTGGACGAACAAACCACGAGGTATTGTGATAATGCATAGCGTGTTGCCAACAAACATGTCGACCACATTTTGATTTTTTGTAGTGGATGTAAACGCTGGCCAGTCAATGTCTGTGTTCACCGCTTCACAATACTCATCGATCATTTCATCCGTGAGAGTCATGCCACGATAAATGATCTGATCTTCAATCATCGTGTTACACTGATTCAGGTACGAGTTGATTAAGAAACAGAGTGGTCCTAAAGTTTGAACTTTACTCATATCATTGTTTCTAAGTGTTGTATTCAGTAGATTATAGAGAAACGTATTTCCAGTATACAGCTTGGTAGCACATTCTCTGATTTTTTGTTTATCATCTCCACACTGTATCAATGCTTCCGCCATTCTCTGAGCAGGATTCTCTTGGTTCAGCAGTTTGCCTTCCTCGACAATACCTACATAGAAAAAAATTAATGAGGATCGCTGAACAAAGACAAAACTTGAGAATGTTCATACCTTGAGCCGCAAGTTTTGCTATTTCCAAAGTCTTGTTTATCAGTTTAGCGTTGTGAGTCATCCATTCTGTCCAAAATGAAGACGTCCAAACTGCTTTGGTTGAAAATGACTTAACTGCTCGTATTGGATATGAAAATCTTTCCTTTCTTGCGTTGTAACTTTGGTCTTCCATAGCTATTTGAGTTTTGAAAAAGGAATAATTGAATAATTGAATAATTGAAAACCAACTATTCCAAAATTGAATAATTGAATAGTTGAATAATTGAATAATTGAATAATTGAATAGTTGAACTACGTTTTCAATAATTGAATTCAACTTTCAGGTTTGACATATATGCCTATTATAGGAAGGACTTCTAATTTATCAAAGGTTTTATATTATCCATTCTGTTTAAAACAACTTCTGACTCTCACTGAAATAATGTTTTTGGATCAAAACTGAAATCAGAAAATTGTCATATATCTATGAATATTTTCTTCAAGGAAGCATCTCCATATAAACGTCATCGATTTCAAGTCCAAAAAGCTACCAAAACTGACATCAAAAGACCAGAAAAGCAACTTGCAACACTGAGCATGAGACTAAGATATGAGGGTGTGGGTGTGGGTGTGGGTGTGGGTGTGGGTGGGTGTGGGTGTGGGTGTGGGTGTGGGTGTGAGTGTGGGTGTG